TTCCTATATTTAAGTTGTTTCATCACAGAGATTGCAGGACAAAAGGGTGATATATTTGATGAAGCCTTGTATCATAAGTTACTACTCAATATAGCTAACATTTTTAATTAGTGGTTGGGAATGAAGAGTGAAAAATTATGCGTATTTTGCCTTGCCTGTTATCGGTTGCAGTCGATAAACAGTCATTGACATCTATTTTTTCATTCATCATTTGGAGTTGGAGGTTCCAATGTCTGCTCACTTTTTTTTATATTATAAAAAATCTCACTATACATTTATTTTACTGCTTGATACTTAATAAATAAGTTGTTAATTTAATAGTCTATTTTCATATTTTTCATCTTAGTATTCTACTTAAATTTTTACTATAAGAAATTCAAATCAAGGAATTTCATCATCTCTCTCCTTGTTACATTACAATGTAGGCCAAAGATTTAAACCGGCAAGACATGTTTCCAAAAAGTAAGAAATTAAGCATATCTAATCTCAAAATTAAAAAATCTTACATGTATATCAAATCTCAATTAATATTTGTCATGACAGCGATAATTGACATATGTCTCTTATCAATAAGTCATAGATTTGAATCTTCCACTTGTATTGTACTAAAAAAAATCTTGATTAATATTCAGATTTTTATTCTAATTTACAAATAAATTTAGGGCCACGCAGATTATACCTTATCTAAATTATTGAATTTGCTTCAAATTCTCACTCCTCTCCACAAACATCCTCACACTGAAGAAATCGCCCTCTCTTATTCACCAGGATGAATCCCACCCTAACAGTGCATTAATAAATTTGAACATTTGTGTAATTGTCAATTCTAATCACCTATTCATTTGGAAGAGCAAAATAAGATAATCCATAATCTCATAATCTCTTTTGTTTAGTTCAAGTTAAAAGAGGAAATTTTAACTTCCACCTTTTGATTGATGATATATACTTGATTTAATTCAGTTATGTCGAGGTACATTCATGTTGCCCTTCTAATTCATATCTTTGATCCTGACAAAGCATATTCGTATGTATTATCAAACCCCGCAAGCAAGTGCATATTCTAATAATGAAACTCGCTTTCTATAAATTAATATAATACACAAAATTGTGCAGACGTTACAAAATCATTGGTTTTATGTTACATCATTGCTTATGAAATAGAACGAAAATTATGGCAGAAACTACTCAGCTCACGGTTCAAATAGAACAATAACTCAGAGACCCCACAACAAAATATAGTACTCAAAATTGTAGACCACTTGAGAGCTTCCCACCTGTCTTAATTCTGATGGTTGGGTTGAGTCGAGTCGGTCTCATCGGGAAGAGTTAAAATGAACCAAAATAAGATGCTGAACCAAGCAAGTTAGGCAGAAGAGATCTTAAACATGAAGATTGCTCAAATCAGGCTCCTGCTTCACCACTTAGCTTAAGAGTCATTTTTATGTTCATTGCTGCTAATTCTGCAGCCAGGTACCTAAAGACGTAAGGCATTGCCACTGTCTCCATACCTTTACTTGTTTTGCAAGCCTGGCATGTAACCCTTTTAGGAGCCTTCCCCGGGGGAAGCCCGCCAATTGTGCGTGTGGCACGCTTCTGGGGCTGGATGAAAGATGATGTAAGAATGCTTCCACAAAGTGAACATACATCAGCAATGTGATGATCAGAACATGTATGAAGCCTATCATGTAACAAATACGCTGCTCCATGTGCCAGCATTGAGTCACGCTCCATTTCACCAAAACGTATACCTCCACCCTTTTTTCGACCTTTGATAGGTTGCCGAGTGATTTGGTCTACAATTCCAGTAGAACGAACCTGAAAGCATCAGACAGAGATCAACAATTCATGTTAATGTCAAGTTCTCAAACCCTAAACTATAAAGTGCTTATGTTGACACAAACAGATTTGTTGCATGTGTTGCATGTGTTGGATGAGAAAATGGATAATGATGCTCTATTAGAACTTTGGATCATCCAAAGGGTATAGATCTCATATTACAACTCTAATAACATTTACCAGCACATGGCAAATCACAACAGAACAATACAACTTTTTTTTGTTAAATTTGACCAGAATTTCAATTTTGTTTTCTATTACGACCAGAATTTCAATTTTATAACTGACAAATGATAATACGTGGCGTAGCAGATGTCAAGAATATAGTTAATCAAAATGAAGTAATTGAAAGGGCCCCCAAAGCTCAAGACATGTAACACACTATTAGAAATGCATAGACAATTTCAGATTCTATGCCATGATTTCACCACACTGCATTTTCTTGATTCAGCATTAGACCAATTCTGACCAAAGTCATTTTACTGCTTCAAACAATACCAAGGAAACATAAAAAGAAACGATACGAGATAATAACATCTTGAGAATAAGAAACACCAATGTCATCCAATAGAAATTCTTTACAAAGCCACAAATGCTAAAACCTCGAAGCTATAGGATAATGTGAAAATATTAATTCAGTAATCGGAAAATTTTAAAAATAGATCAAATAATGAAATCTCACCTGATATTTGTCAGAAACCATATGCCGAAGACGCTGATAATATACAGGTCCAATAAAAATTTCACATGTTAGCTCCGTCCCATAAACCCCACTGTACAATACCTCAACTCCGTGGTAATTAAATCCCTTCTTAATTAACATGGAACCAAGTTCATCAACAAGTGTCTCAGTTTTTGCCTCTTCATCTCCAGTATTTGTTTTCTTTACGGAACTTTTAAACGGTGTCGCATCAACAAATTCTCCATTTAAACATCCTCCCTGCAACAAGTAATTGTACTGTAGTTACAAATTATGGTTGAATGGAAATGCCAACAAGAGTAATGAAACCTGGCCCAATAGAAACTTCTTCCCAATTTCTTTCTTGATCAGCGAAGTCAACTTCTTCCTAATTTCTTCCTTACCAACAAAACATGGATGGTTCCTTTTTAACCATAATCCCCATACTAAAACTTCTATTGTATTAAATTAACCAAGAGAGCTACATTGAAGCGCACCCTCCTGATATTGATGTTTACTTCAGAATGAATTGTTTACATATAGTCATAGACGTCATGCTAACATTACTTCATTTAGACATCGTTACCTTAGCTGCGACAGACTCCATCAACATTGCAATTGTCATTCTAGAAGGAAAAGCATGTGGATTGATAATCAAATCTGGGCGCATTCCTGTAGCTCCACAAAATGGCATATCAACATCTGGCCATAGCTGGGAGCAAACACCTTTCTGTCCATGTCTACTGCTAAATTTATCTCCAATCACTGGATTCCGAGGATGTCGGAAACGTATGTTCACCTTCTCAACAAGGAAAAGAGTGGGGAGTAAAGAGACTTGATCAGACTTTTTCTTCTCGTGGAAACAAAACTTTCATTAAAGAGATGAAAAAGTCGGCCACAAATGTTTTTTTTTAACTAGAAACAAACATTTTTGTAAAGAAAGTAAATTGCTCAAGAATACAAGCTCCCAAGGGGAGTGAAAAGGAAAAGAACCATCAAGAAACCAAAAAGATACAAAAATGGACAACTAAGACAAAAACCACATCTAAAGACTAGGGCATTCCTTTTTTTTTTTTTTGATAAGAAACCGAAAAATTCCAATTAAGACAAAAACAATTTCTTCAAAACAAACCCAGTCTTTAAAGATTGATATCATCAAACTCGACTTCAGAAAGCAAAATATCATATTTTTTTGTTGACTTTAGCGATTTCTTCAGCTAGTCAGCCACTAATGTTAATAAACAAAATATTTAAAAACACGAACATTTATAACTTCCTTGCTTTAATAACAATACTCGAATGGGATCAAGTGACACTTCAAGTTGAGTCCACCATAACCCACTATAACAATTTTTCTGCTCTTACAGTTCAGACATGAGGACAAGAGATCCCAATTTACCTTTTGAGGGTGTTTCTTATTCTTTACATCAACAGAAACGTAATCGACAATAACAGGTTCAGAACCTTTAAGTTTCATGTTTCTAGTTGTGCCTGACACCTCATCATAAATGCTACAATAGGGCTCATCTGGGTGTATCATCTGAAGCTCATCATAAGTTTAGTTAGCTTTAACACGCATAAAAAAGCAAGAAAACAACAGAGAAAATAAGGCTAACCTGACCAACATAAGGGAGCCCATCCGAGTCTACAAGAGGTCGCACAGATGTATCTATATTGCTCCTCCTAAATATTTTCTGGCTACGATTTGACCTATTGCTCTGCTCAGACAGGTCAATAGTTTCTGTCTGCCAAATTACCAGAGTAGATGAACAAAGGATCAAGTTTCAGCAAGAATGTGTAACACTTCGATAAATGTTAGTCAAAGGGGAAGAAAAAAGAGGTAGTATGTGCACCGTGTATTTATTACTCCACCATCATTACATAAAATATAACCCAAAAAACCATTTTTTATTTTACTTCCATCCTTTTTCTTTGATACATTTTAATGCCTTCATTTGAAGATCCTACCATTTTGGTTCGTCAAATTCTCAGACAGTGAATGGACAGAGATTTGAGTATCAGTCAAAGGGTCAGACTGTGATCATACTTATTATTCACATCA